AAGGAATGCTCAACAAATACTTTTGATGATAATTCATCAAGAAATAAATCCTAGAAAGGACAGAGGTCTGATTCCAAAGCTGTTACATTAGTATATTCAGGACGTCTAGCTTCCCATAAGAGGAATGAGGCATGCAAAGAAATAATAAAGTAAGGACAAGGTACAGGAGATAGGCAACTGAGACACAGAGTTCAGAAAAATGCACAGATTCTGGACTACGAAGCTTTTACAAAATGATTAAAGAGCCAAAACAAACTCTAAATAAAGTATTTCAAAAGAATCAATATATAGAATTTATAAAAGGAAATAAATTCTGGGGTTGACAACCATAAAAACTGAACTAAAACTCACTGAGGGACACAATAAATGCACCTGAGGATTCAGGAATGTTTGATTGTAGGCCAACTGAGAAATGTAACATCAGTAACAGAACAGTGAAGGAAGTAAACCAAGGCTAAGAGGTCTACTCAGTACCACCTTATACAAATATATTAATGATGTTGTCCCGAAAGAGAAGAAAAATATGTAGGAAGAATACTTAATGAAATATTCCCCAACATAGAAAATTTGTGAAAAAAAAATATTAACCTACACGCCAAGACAGTCCAATGAACTCCACCAGGATAAACACATAATCTTAATTAAAATACCAAAAGCCCCGCTGATGCACACGTACATAAAACCAGCACTGGAGCGGCTAACACCAGAAGCTCCAGGTTAGCCTAGACTCCACAGTAAGTTTCAGGCCAATCTGGGCTACAGTGAAAGATCTTGTCTCAGAAAACCAAAGATCAGAACAGAACTATAGAAAATTACTGAAAAACAACGACGGAAGAAAACTGCGAGCTCCTCCATATGAGGAAACTTGGGCACAGAGACTCACACAAAATTAATTTCTCTTCAGAGACCATCAACACAAAAAGCATGCAATGGCACAAAGTATCAAGGAGAGGAGAAATTCCAATCAAAACAAGGAGAAGAGTCAACAAATAACTCTATGTGCAATGTTACTGCCCTTCAAACTTGAAAACGTTAGCGCAATCATCCCTTGGGAAAAATTAAGGAGTATTTTAAGCTGATACTCCAAGAGCCTTAGACAGAACATACAAAAACAATGAGCATGGGTAAGAACAAGAAACGGCAAAACACAAACAAACAAATTCGAACAAGTGTATGTATGTGCAATTTTTCACTTCTAGCATTGTGATCAGTTTCTGTCTAGTATAAAGGCACACTAGAAACCCTGAGCCATCCTGGGAACCATGGTAAAATTCTGTATCTAATAAACAAGCCACCATTAGTATAAGACTGCAAATATAATTAAATAATTAAATGTTAACACTGAAAAAAAAAGGCACACTAGATAAAATCCTAATTTCTGATCTATGTTGGTGGCATTGTGTCTTTGTGCTTAGAGGCATAAGGGAGGAAGACCAGACGTGTGGAGCGAGACACACTGGCCAGTGCGGGGCTTCCCTCGAGCCTGATAACCTTCAACCCCGGACCCCAATGGAGGGGAAAGGAAGAGGGGTGACACCACAAAGCTGTCTTCTGATCTCCACACATGCGCTATGACATGTGTGTCATTCCCACACCTCAATGACACGCACAAGGATAATCTACTAAAATCAAGTTGGCGTTAATCTAAAACAGATTTTTCAATTTATGATTAGTATGAAAACAGATTACAATGTTGTACCACAGGAATTAATATGAGATCCTAGAAAATAGCAGTCTAACACACTAAAGAGGGCTAGTATCAAAGAAACAGATGAATTGGGAGAGACATAATGCATATGGAAAATAAATAGGAAACCAACACCCTTTTCTTGTTAGTAGGAATGGAGAAGAGAGGCAGAGGCAGGAGGTGACTGAAGAGCTTGTAGAGATTACAGTAACGGGACAAAACTGCCAACAGAGACAGCGGATACAAGATATCACGAATATGTAATATAATTGTGTAAATGAATGCTAATCACACATACCTCCAAAATACACAATGGAAAAAGGGGCAGAATTGTAGGTAAAAAAATGAACTGCTCAACGGTGGAGAACTTAGTACTTCTATTTTTAATAACAGTTAGAAAAATAAATTAAATAGAAATAGGAGTAAACAGCTCAGTTAAATGAATGTCCTGTTATATTTTTTTTTTAGATCCACACAATCAATAGCACTCTGTCTTGAAAGAGACTGCTGTAGTTCAGATTTGAGTGCTGCTCAAAGCCCCATGTGCTAAAGCCTTGCTCCCTAGAGAGGTCCTTTGGGAAGATGGTAAAGCTTTAAGAAGTGGAGCCTAGAGTGGAATTACTAGGTCATTAGTATGTGTACTCATGAGGCAGCATGGGATGTCATCCACTCTGTTCTCTCTTGCTCCTGAGACAGGAGGTGTGCAGTTCTGCATCTCATTTGCCTGCAATCATACACTGCCACACCATATGTCAAAGTAATGTAACCAGCTTACTATGGACTAGGACCTCCCAGGTTATGAGCCAAAAATAAGTCACTTCTTTTTCTATGTTGACTATCTTTTAACCACTGGGCTGAGGTCTTCCTAAAGAACCTCTTAACCAATGACCTGGTGGCCCAGCCTTCCTTAAATATCTCTGAACCAATGAGTGGGCTCACTAGCCTTTCTCGAGTATCTCTGAACCAATCAGTGGGTTCAACATTCTTTCTTGAGTATCTCTTAATCATGAGCTGGCTCATCAGCTACCTTAAGTATCACAGCAACAGGAAAAAGAAGCTAAGATATCTTCAACAGAGGGTCGTTAAAAGAAACCAAAAATAAGTTATTAGAACTAATAAAGAAATTCAGCAAACTTACAGAATAATTCTCAAACTGATGCAAGGCTAAATGCAAACATATATAAATACCGACTGATTTTATGCTTTTATTTGCAAAAATGGACAAGATGACCACAGGACTGATAGAGCAAAGCAAGGGAGACCAACTCACCAAAACTATCTGAGAAAAGGAGAACAAAGCTAATTATACTTTTTTGATTTCAGTCTTACTACAAATCTATCTATATAAACCAAGACAGTGTATTCCTGGCCTAACTGCAGACATTACGATCTGTGGAAATAAAATGCATAGTCCAGAAAATCTTAATATATTTATGGGCAGATGATTTTCAAAGGACCACAATCAATAAATAATAGTATTTTAAAGAAATACATTAGAGAAACTGGGTCCATACCTGCAACACACATATCTAAACCACAACCTCATATCTATGACAAAAAATAACTTCAAAGCAACAACTCACTTAAATGTGAGACCAGGTATAAGACTCTTAGAAAAAAGCATTTGTACTGGTGTGGCTTTTAATTATGTGGTGGTTCCTTAGGCACACAGCAAAGTATAAAACTTTACTGGATCAAAACAGAAAAGCATAAAAATAGGGTCTTCATCATTTATATATGATAAAGATCTAGTAATAAAGATATGATATCCAGAATAGAAAATAATTGCTACTCAGTAATAAAAATTAAAATAACTCAATATAAAAATAAGGAAAGGTTTGAACAGACATTTCTCTAGAGATATACAAATAGTCAAAAAGCATGAAAACATTCTCCAAGTTATCTCTCATTATGACAGTATTTCAAAAACCAAAGAGCTAGATTCATACACACTGGACTGTCTACACACATAAACCACTACATACTCTTTTGAAGAAGAAAGGAGAAGGAATACAGATGTGGAGAAAGTGAACGGTCATATACAGATAGTAGGAAGGAGGCAGTCAGTACACAAACTGTTCAGAAGACAGCAAACAGAGGTCATGGAGATTCCATCAGCTGATGAATGGATAATCCCATCTGCAGTGTCCATCCATAAAATGGAATATTGGATGATAAATGGGAACAGAGTATTGATCCACACTGCAAGGATGAAACTTGGGAGCATACAACCCTACAGTAAAGGAGATGAAATCAGTGGTTTCCAGGGCACCACGAAAGGGAGAGAGTGCAGAGGCCTGTTAGCAGTTCAGGGTTCTTCCTTAGGTAATGAAAATATTCTGGAATTAGTGATGACGGTTAAAACCATGATTATATTAAACATCACCTAACTGTGCACATTAGTGACTTAGAAATTGTATTGATTGCTTTTCTGTTGCTCAGATGAAGTACCATGCCTAAAACTCCTTAGAGAAGGAAGGGTTGGTTTTGCTGCAGGGAACTAGATGGACAGGGAAGGCATAGCAAGAGGCCTCCCCTAGTGATGAAGTTCCTCCAGCAAGGCCCTGACTCCTAATGTTCTATAAGCTCCCCAAATAACACCACCAACTGGAGACCAGGTGTTCAAATCCAAGAGCCTATGTTAAAAGCTCTCATTCCCGCCACCCCAAGTAGTACATAAACGTCAATTTAAAAACTGACTTTTGGCAACATTTTATTGATTAAAATTTTATAAAGTCATTATTGTGAAATAAATTCAGTTTTTAAATTGGGTAATTCACCCTCCAAAGTACACATGTCCATTGATTTCCATTTCCATACTTCATTGGTGATTTGACAACTATGGCATTAACTTGGCAGTTTCAGATTCCCTTCTGACTTTCCCAGCACTACCGTGTGCCTGTTCACATTTGCATGGAACAGATAGCTCAAATTTGGGGGTTTTGAACAAACACATCAAAGCATCTTAGCTTTTAAACATTATTAAATGCTGTTTCCAGAGCTATGTGTTGTTAAATAAACATAAATATAAAGTTTATGAAACTTGTTGCCAATATAGAAGTAGACGCAAATGAACACACTGATGACAGACATAAGGAACACGATCTTAATGAGAGAAATTACTTACTCTTTCACAGATACTTCCAGAAGCAATACTAACTCCTTTCCTTCCAAATGATACCACTTAGCATATATGAAAAGTTTGCCCTGGGGAGACGTAGGTTTATTTTAAACTACATCTCCTTGTTTTTATATTGGGATGCTTTCACTTCTCTTCCATGCTAACACAGGAATTCCATCAGTGGATACTTACCCGAAGCATGGGGCCATTCTGGAACACGTGTGGCTCATCACAAACCACACAGTATTCATTCAACACAGGGATCCGCTGCTCGGCAAACTCAATTGTCTGAATAGAACGATACAAGAAAAGAAGCCAGTAAGGTTCTCGGATGACAGGGAAACCCAGCCAGGACCAGGTGCTCCCACCGTGAAGGATCTTAACTCATACCTGCACCAGGAAGCCGCGGTCTCGGATTGGAATGCATTTTGCACCATTTGTCTATAAAAAGCAAAGTTTTTAAAAAGTAACTTTTTATTAGGGAGAATATAGAAGTAATAGCTTTTCCCATTTTCAGAAGTAAATGCAGATGATCACATGAGTATTGTCAGCTATTATGATATTAAAATATTAGACTTCCTTATGGACCAATTTTGTAATATTATATGATATATTATATATTATATTATATATGTTATATGTATATGATATATATAATCAACTATATTTGCCTAAACAAAATGATATTCTTAGGTTCCCATCCTTTAGTAAAAATACCTGTCATTGTTACACAAAAAGAAAGTTAGTTTATTCTATTACTGATCAAAAAAAAAAAACCATACCATCGTTAGAATTTTCAAATACTATCAGCTTCAATGATTCCTCCAAGGAAAATAAAACAGCGGCTAGCGAAAGGCCCAGTACTAAACCAATTGGCAGGCTAAGTACATGGGGGAAAAGTCTGTTTTCTTTCACAAATTATCTGAAATTATCCTTCTGAGGTGAAACTATCATGGGAAACATTCCTTTGTGGAACTGATAGGCATACCCTTAAATAAGCTTCTAGTGTATTCATTAAAATTATAAAGACTATCAAGTTTTCCTCAAGCAAGTATTTGTAATCAATTGTAGGGAGAAATCTATGTAAAGATGACTAAAATCAGCCTCTTGTTTTGTCAACTAACATATGGCTGGCTTAGCATATGAATCATTAAATTGACATTCACAACATGCACATGTCTAAAACCGCAAACAAAACCTTTCAACCATTTTCGAATATGTAACTACTTGTGTAAGTTAAGTCTGTCTGAAGCTGGCTGTGCCAATCACTAGAGAGGTAAAGTTGATGTAGGGTTGATCCACAGTCAATATCAACCGTACAGACATCACCTGGACCCACATCCTCCCACTCCCCCCAGAAAGAACTGCTTTAGCATAAAATGGACATTGAGCAAATCTTCATGTGAAACTCTTGAACGCTAGCACCAACCAAATGTTCACAGACAGCATTCTCTAATATAGAACTAAAATATTATGCTTAACTATAAGACAAGTGTGGTCCTCCACTACTCACGTGGTGGAAGAAACGATAAATAACCTACTTAATACAGATCAAAAACTTTGTAAATCTAGCTGAATTCCTTCTGTTCTTAATAGAATTCAGTGGTAGGAACACAAACCAGACAGGAAGTGAGTGATTGCATTTTTTCCCCAGAACCAATGCTAACTGTTCTGCGCCAGCTATAATATCCACCCCCCCCCAAAAAAAAAAAAAAAAAAAAACAGCAAATTTAAAAACAAAACAAATTAAACGGATCTTGTGTTTTTCCTCTCTCAGGTCTCATAAAAATGCATACAAGTCTCCTGTCCCTTAGCTACATTTAAGAAGGCAAGATGAAAGAAGTATTTACGCACGGGAGGCTGGGAAGAAGACGATGATGGTGTTAAAATACCGATAAGCCCTGAGGTAAGCGAGAGCCTCCTGCCCTCTGCGTTGGGTTCCTTGAAATGCTCGGTTTTCGATGACTTGGGGGCGCCGGAGTAAGACTTGCTGAGCAATTTGTGGTTTTTCAGCCCGTATAACTCTTCCATTCTGAGATTGCTGGAGTAAGACCTGCTTAGCAGTTTGTGGGGCTTCAAGTTGCTGCTGTGCTCACATCGCGGGTCTCCAGAACAAGAGCGAGTCAATAATTTATGCGACTTGAGCGTGAGGCAGTCCTCCTGCTTGCCCGCTGTGGGGCAGGGCCGGCCCAAGAGTTTGTGCGATTTGAGGGTAGACATCGCCTGCTCGGCCCTGGGGTCGCTGGACAGCGAGCGCCCGAAGGTCCTGTGCGACTTGGCGCACACGTCATCAGCTTTGACAGTGCTGGAACAAGTCCTCCTCAACAGCTTGTGTGTTTTGGAGATGCCGTCTTGTTCAGATTTCAGTTTGGATTTGCTTTTGCCACAACCAGGGGGAGGATAGCTGGGCGACCTTGGAGACGAGCAACAATTAACACGGGAGGAAACTGGACCTAGCGTCAGCGCCCCAGTTCAACCAGGGGACATACGCTGCCACCTCATCAACAATCCCCGTTAGGACCCAAACCAGAGACGGGTGCAGAATGCGTCACTGGAATGAAACCACATCTCACAAACACAAGAAGATTCCAGCATGGTTCCTCCCTCTAACCTATCCCAGAACTCCACGAAGAACTGAAATGTGGAGGACTCTTTTCATCATGCGAAAACAAAATCTAACTTTAGTAAACTTTACCCATACTGATTAAAAATAAATAAGCACACCTATGTTTTTGACGGGACTCCTGTAATTTGTTGGAAATCACAAAGAAAACAGACATGTAGGCGAGAAAGAATCCTTCGCACTGGGTATAGCGGGGCTCTAAGGGCAGAGCAGTCAGACAAAGATGAAGACGCCTGTTACCAACCTGCGCAAGGTAGAAAACAAATGCAGAGGCGACTTCACCTTCTTCTCCGACAGCTTCTTACCATGCAGGCAACTGGACTTTTCCTTGCTCTGTTTCCACTGCTGAGTAACGAATGTCTGCATGATCCTGTCAAAGCAGAGGCGGCTCTGTTAGCACAGTCCCACCGCCATCTTACACCAATACTTCTGGGGTTTGCTTGTTTGCCAGCTTGGGGAACTCGGGGTGCTGTTCTCGTTGTTTTGCTTTGAAACCGAGGTCTCACTATGCAGCCCTGACCTAGAACTTGCTACAAAGACCAAGCTGGCCTCAAGCCCCCAGAGACCAGACAACCTCTGTCTTCCTACTACTGGGATTACCACCCTGACAATACTGTGCCTACCAATGCTTAGGTATTTATTGCGATAAGAACACATTACCAAAGGAAAATAACACAACCATTAGTAAAATGCTAAGTTAGGGTTGTGTAAGAATTTTCATATTAAAGGAGCCAGAATGTAAGAAATTACCATGGCTTTTTATGACAAGTTACATCATAACAAGTGATCAAGAAACTTACTTATTAATAAATTAAAATAAAATAGTGACATATTCTAATTACCCAAATTATCAGAGAGTTTATGAAATAATAGATTTAAAAAGAATCCTGGGAGCAGCCTTCAGAGTCAGTAACTTTTACATGAATTTTTAAAGTGAAGCTAATTTTTCACTTGGTTGTTCCATGTATGTTTCATCTTCATGAAAGAAAAAAACAAATTGCAAAACTATATGTAGAAATATTTGATGTAAAAATATATGGTCTTCAAGCACAGCCCAATCACCTCTATATATACTAGTGTGTTTTTTAAAAGTATATATTCCTAAAATTTTTAGTTATTATCATAAGATTGGAATTTGGTGTCAGGATTTTCCACAATATCTGCTTCCTTTGGTGATTCCTGGAAAAGAATTCTGGAGAGCCAACTAGGGACTATAACAGCATGCTATCTGCAAAAGGACCTTAGACTATGGCTATGCCTCCTGCCTTTCAAGTCACAGAACAGAAGGATGCCTTAGTGCTGGTCCCTCAGTAGATGTGAAATTTTACAATTACACATTATATGTATAATACATTTGACATTTTAACTTTCTTTCAAAAAAAAACCCTTCAAGTTTGCCTGATTGTCCTGTTGTTGGTTTTTTTTTTTTTTTCTACTTCTGCAAACTGCTTCTGGGAGGGAAAACTGATATCAAAATTTTGTTTATCAGCTATGCTATGTCAGGGAATAAAAGGCAGCTTTGTAAATAAAAATGTTCATCTCAGTTCCAGAAAATAGTTGTTATTATCCCACACACTGAAATAAGGCGTATGCCCAAAGGAGAAGGTGTGACTCTTAGGTGGAGGAGAAGCAAACTCTCCAACATCCTTCAGGACCCCACTAACTCAGTGCACCCTTGCCTTCTGTTGGGCTATCTTCGGCTACCTTCGATGTGTTCAGAAGAGTCAGGTCCGAATCATTTGGGGTCACTAGGGTAGAAGATGTTGTGAGAAAAAGGAGGATAAATGGATGCTGTGATTCCAAATTCACAGGAAATTTGTCTTGGATCTTAAGAACAGGGGATTGCTTTATTTCATTTTTATTTCATGTCTGAAGACTTTATTTCCTTGATATTTCAAGAAGATTTGCATGTACTGGATCACATGAATATTATTTCTCCTTGTTGCTAATAAAAAACTCATTGAAACTATTTTGTTCTAATTAGACTTAGATTCTTTTTCTCCTATGATGAAAAAGGTTCCTATTCCTGTGACCTACCACCTATGAAGGCTACCAAGTGTGTGCTGGAGAAGCTAAATGGAACCAAAGGGCATAGCAGGTCACTTTCAGGTTACACTGTTATTCTGAAGTGTGTCTTTACCACGTAACATCAGTAGCTCTTAAACAACTCCTGATTATCTTTGGTTGCAAGAAAATATTCAACTGCTTCTTGTAAGACAGTTAATGTCACTGCTGATCCAAAGTGTGTGCAGATGTATGCATACACACACACACACACACACACACATATATATACATATATATATACACACACATATGTGTGTATAATGATCACGGATATGCATGTATATATATGTGATCATATTGTGCTATGAACACACATGCTATAATGACCACCTTCTCATAACACACTTAGCATTTGGTCCTAGTACCCTAAAGCACCAGGAATGGATCACAAGAACACATTGAATGTAGTTATTTACATATTAAAAATTGCTCTAAGCAATAAGTAGCCTAGATTCCTCACTAGCATCCTTTCATAAGCTTCAAGGAAGATAAGCTCTTCACACCTGAATTTTTTTCTTATGAATTATCATAAATATGAGATGATAAATTTTAAATTATGCTCTTTAGGCTAGACGGCACCTAAAGATCCCCAGTCAAAAACACTTATAAACAAAGAAATTTAATTATATACTTGACAGAAATTCATCAAAAACATGAAAATAATCTGGCTCTTATTAAAAAATTCCCTACATAACTAAAATTCATTCATAAAAGCAAGTAATGTTTTTGAAAACATTAATCACCAGGCTGGACCTAGGACTAGAACATGTTACATATTATACCAGTCACCTAAGCACAAGCCCCAGCACACAGCTTTCCTTTACTTCTCAGGCTTACAACTGCAGATGCTCTTTCTTTGTCCAAACTCATGGGATACACTCATGGGCTACTATAGGCAGAAAGTTGTTTATTCTAGGACATGCATTTAAGAAAATTCTTGTCTTATTTTGATCAACCCCATCCCCCCCCCACACACACACACACAAACGTTGCTTTAAAAGCAGTGTTACAATAGGGGTGGTGGAGGTGTTGGTGAGCCAGCCCCGAAGTTGCGAGGCTGGAAGAGCTGTCCCTGTTCCTCATCTGTCACATGGTGCTATGGGTAGGGGAGAGATGCCCATCCTCATCAAGGCCTGATGCAGGAAAGAGAGTTGCCCCTGCCTGCACCAGCTGCAACACTTGGAAGAGCAGGACCTGCACCTTGCTGGGCAGCACGACAGAGCCAACCCCATTGGCAGAGGCGAAGCGAACCAGCACCGGTATGGTGAGCATAGAAGAGCTGTCCCCAATATTCACCTGTCGTGTGGCAGCATGGGAGGGAAAAAAGTGTTTGTTGTCCCCTCACCCCACCCCCACACACACCCATTGACGTCGGTCATAAGGGCAGGGGAGCTAGCCCTGCCCCTCATCAGCTACAACTAATGGGAAAGTGGCCCCTGTGCCTCTCCTGGGCAACACAGTAGAGCCCGCCCTGAAGGTACAGGTGTGGGAGATCAACCCTGAGGACCTGGAAACAGGAGACTTGGCCCCACCCCTTGCTCACAGCCCCAAGGGGGGGTGAGCTCCCAGGGCAATGCTGGAGAGCTTACCCTGAGAGTGAGGACAAGGGAGAGCGGGCAGGCTGACCCATTCTGCAACTACCCAGGCCCAGAACGAGTGTTACAGGTTGGAACACCTCAATTATCCATCCCATATGTGATCTACTTGCAGAGCCAAAGCTGAAGGATCTCTACCACACAGGGCAACCGCAGGATAATTGAGAGAGGTCCTAGTGAGGGCCCAGCATCGATAGCGAAGTGGAAACTAGAGGCCTCGAACCAGACCAATGACTCGCTGTAATGAACTCTTGCAAGTCAAGATATATGAATAAAGGGTTTACTGCATGATTCACAACGTCACACTACAGCTTCCAAGGTGAGATTTTGCCCTCTTTTTATTTTCTTTCTTCTCTTAAATTTTATTGGGGGTGGGGTGCTGCAGGGGCAGAGGGTGCATACGCAGGGATGGGAAATGAGTGGGACCGAGATACGAGATGTGAAACACACAAACAATAAGTAAAAAGAAAGCTAAAAAAAAAAAAGAGAGAGAGAGAAAGCAGCGCCAAAGTAACGTAACATAAAGGTGCCGCCATGCTCCTCTGCAAGATGGATAAGCCATGGATTCATGTAAGAAACAGAGACTAACTGAAAGAAATAAAAGTAATTGTGTTGGACCTGGGGGCAGGGGGGGGCGGTGCACGCCTTTAATCCCAGCACTCGGGAGGCAGAGGCAGGCAGATCTCTGTGAGTTCGGGGCCAGCCTGGGCTACAAGAGCTAGTTCCAGGACAGGCTCCAAAGCTACAGAGAAACCCTGTCTCAACCTTCCCCCCCCCCAAAAAAAGTAATTGTGTTGGAAAAGCTCCCCTAAATCTAAAACAAAAATTTACAGATGCCCCAATGTGAGTCTTTAAAAGAGAACATTGCATGGTCTAATGTGCTAAACATTCTTTGTAAATTCCGTTTATCTTTAGAGAAACGAAATCCTAAATGTTAAGGGTTGATTATCTGACCCTGCATTTGTGTGCAGATCTAGACTCAACACTGAGCGCCTAAAAGAGCAGCTTCCCCCACTTCGAATGCAATCATCCATAATTCATATCTGAGCAAAGTTACCTTGGTGTAGTGTCAGAAAAACTGGGCCAGTCCTAGAGGTCTAAGGTATGGACTAGCCCAGACATCACATAAGGCTTCCGGCACCAGGGAAAAGGAAGCTGACACAAGAAATTTTAAAGTATTTTCTCTTGGAACATTACTCAATAAAGGATGACATATGATGAAAATGAAAATTCATTAAACTGAAAGGGAAAGGCGTGGGCTGCATCCTGATCAAAGAACTAAACCACTGCATTAGCGCACAGGATCTGACAGGCTCTTACTAAATCAAGTTTATGGATCTGGAAGAATAAATAGTCCTTCAAGAAGTCTCACAAATTCTAAAAGCTGAAATTCTGACAAGTACAGCACTTATTAGTTATATTCCGACCAAAGAAACTGAGGGCATATGTCAATATTTTCAGTCAGATTTCTGGTGCTTATCAGAGAATAGAAAACAACAAGGAAGGATTGGAATGTACACAGAAGGGAGCCCATGATGCTGGTTAAACTAAGACAGCCATTATGGGAATCCGTGCGATGGCTCAGCGGGTAAAAATGCTTGCTGTGAAGTCTGACAACCTCAGGACACGCATGAAATTGGAAGAAGAGAACCAGCTCCACAAAAATGCTTTCACACACATAGAAAAATAAAAAAAAAAGATGACAGATGGATGGATTGAATGGATGGATAGACAGGAGGACGGACTATAGCTTCCTCAAACTATTAAAATAGATCGAGCAGGTTATCTAGCAAGCGCACCTATTAGCATTTATTCCAACAAATTAAATCTGTAGAGAAGAGATTTCTGCAGGCACTTGTCTGCTGCAGCACTATTCAAATTAGACACGAGCTAGAAATCAGCTAAGGACCCATCAGGGGTGACTAGCTCGGCTGGGAGTGGTGGTGCAAATTCCAGCACTTGGGAAGCTGACTGATGCTGGAGAAGCCAGCCTGGGTTACATAGCCAGCCTCTAGCTGAAATAAACAAGGAAGCATGGGCAAGGGAAAATGAAATACGATTCCACAAAAAAATAAGAATCTTGTCAATTTGCAAAGTCATAGATGGATCTGAGGGTCATTTTAAGTGACAGAAGTCAAGCAGGGAAGAAAAGTCCTACATCCTCTCCTTTCTATGTTGATCTCATTTCTGTCCACAAACTAAATACACTGATATTATGGGAAGGCATGGTAGTCAGACGGTGGAACAGGACAGAGGTGGGCGGCCGGGAGTCAGAGCAATGAGTGGTCACTTATAAAAAGATAGGAATTGGAAGTTCTGTGTGCTGCTGCCTAGCACTGTGACCATAGGTAAGGACTTTGTCTGTGTACTTCTAAAAGCTTATTTTGAATATTTTCATCACAGAGATGTGATGCCGAAGAAATAAATATGTTGAACTTGTGCAGAATCACCACATGCTGTCAAAATGCTGCGTATAATTTTTATGCACTGCTAAAAAGATAAATATTTTTAAAAGAATACAATGAGGTTTAGCAGAAGACGCCAATTTGTATTTTGGTATTGTGGACAAAAGTTTTAATTTGTAAAGTGAACCATCCCACTGTGTGTGTGCGTGTGTGTGTGTGTTTGAAACATCATGTTGTAGGTTTACATAATAAATACATTATCTTTTGACATGTTTTAGAGTTAAAAATCAATAGATAAGAAAAGGTCTCTCCTATTCATCTGGAATAGTCTTATAGTCTTATATCCTTTTTTGGAAGGCAGAGGCTCATCTAGATTCTGTCTGAATATAGAACTGCATTCCCTATGCAAGAAAGATCAGCAAAGGAGATCATGTGGACAGCATAGTTATTTCCTCCAGGCAAACCACAAGTACTTGGGATGCACCCAGCCTCCCTGCCCCAACATCTCCATCCTCACATATTTCAGAGAAGCTGAAAAGTCAACTCCGACCTCTGCGATTCCCTACTGCACTTTTCTACTCAAAGACATATGTGTGCTGCCCTTGTATTCAGTTCTCTCAAGGATGATGCCTTTCCCACTTTTTTTAAACCCAGGGTTTTAGGTAAAACAGACTTAAAAATCAGAAAACAAAAGTGAATTAAAGCTTTTTTTTTTAAAAAAAAAAAAAGCTGCTATCAATAAGACCCCATGAGATTCTATGAGTACAATAAACAAAAGCTTGGTTTATCTTTCCTCAGCACTTTCAAACCTACCATCATTTATTTCTGCTTCACGTCTATTAATACCAAAGTATGCCAGATTCTTAGTGTCTATATAAATGATAGATCATAAATGCTAATGATGACATAGTAAAGAATGTATGTGCTTACTGAAATGAATTCTAAGCACACTATGCTTTGGAAGAACCATGTCCATTTATAAAAAGATAAACTGAGATACTATTAATACAGGACCAAGAAATAAGGAGATCAAAAACTCAACGAAGGAATGTTTCATGGCCTGGGAAATAGGGCTGGCTCAGAGACAGTGGGGGATAACCAGCTATCATCTCCAGGCCACATGAATAAGCAGTGAAAGCCGCCAACTGGATATTGGGAAGGGGCAGCTGTAAAAGGCAGTGGCTCAGCAGGACAGAAAAACAAACTTCAACAAACCAGCTCAAAATGAGTCCTGTAGGAGAAAGCTTGGTAGTCACTGATCCATACCCCTGCCTTTGCTTCTGCTGGACACGTTAAAGAGAAAGACTCCAGGTCCACAGGAGCAAGAAGGGTATAGTTTGGGGTGTGGAAGGGTGAGTGGATGTGGACAGGAAGCGAGAAATACCCGGGAATCTGGAAAAGGAGCTCTGTGGACTAAAACACAGATCCAGATCTTTGCACCAAGATGATGCCCTATCCCCAGGGACGCACTTGAAAAAGATGTGGGAGAATCAAAACTGAGCAAAAGAGTAAAATGAAAATTCAATTCCCTCGAAAAGCAATTCACTTTTTTTTTTTAAGGCCTCAGTAAACTTACTTCTTCAGCTGATGTCCCAATCCAAATCGCTCTTTTGTAGAAATCTGAAAGACGTCGACTGTGGGCACTGGAAAGAGGGGAAACAGAGTTCAATATTGACTTGAAACTCAGTCACAAAAGATGACTGAGTTATTAATGGTGTGCGTGGGCATGCGCACCCACACACATCCAGAGTACGCACACTCCTCTTGGCAGCATTATTTAAATTACACAAGAGTTAAATATAAGATCACAGCAGGTTGTGTATTAACATAAATATCTGCATATGTTAATAGGTAGCACATAGAAATATGACGAGTAATCTCAAAATAAGCAACTGTTCCAGAAACCATACTTAGGACAGTTGAGACAACATTTTGAAATTATAAATAAAACATGCTAGTATATGACACAACTTTTTAATCAGTGGGAGATGAGGATAAAGCACAGACTTAATATTCACTCTACATCCTCTTCATGTGGTGCATATTTCATGAGATGCATGTGCATATACATACATAGACACATACATGTATGCATGCATACATGTGTGTGCATATATCTAAATAATTTTTGAAATTAGTGACTTACCATAAATAGCTATTTGGAGAAGTGGAATTATTTAATTTTAAGGGTTTTAAATTTGACATGTTTGTTTGGCATTCAAGTAGAAGAGTGAAAACGGTAATAAAAAATAAAAGGCATTCAAGCAGTGGTACGCATTAAAGCTGCAAGTCTGAAATATGTAAACTCATAACACCAACACTACTCAGGGAGGAGAGAATGCTGGGAAAGAAGCTGCACATGCCTGGGTGTCAGGCATCCAGCAAAGAAGCCTTGTGAGGGACAGCCAAGAGGGTGGAGACTCCAGAATGCACGTTCACTAAAGGCTCTCAAGGAAGGGAGACAACAGATTAACAATGAAGATGAGGTAAGATGAGTAGTCAGAACTGGTCTCGGGACTATTTAGCCTTGGTACAGCCATGATCGATTTGACTGTGCAGTGATGGCCCCATAATCTGATCTGAGTGGATTTTAAGAGAGGAAAGGAAAGAAACGAAGGGAGCAGAGCAAACCCTCTAGTAATAAAATCTGACCGGAAAGAAAACAGTACTTCAGGGCCAGCTGAAAGGGAATTTGAGGTCAAGGGTTTTATTTAATTTTCCAAATTGAAAAAAAAAATGTTTCTTGGTGAGAATCCTCTGGGAGGGCAGAAATGTTACAGGACAGAGAGGAAAGGGACAACTGAGGAGCAGTGTGATGACATGACGGGGGAGGAAAGGCAGTGCACAAATCACAGTGACACCACATGGGCACCAGATGTGCCAGGAATAATAAGGGTTGGGATGACTAGAGCAAGTCCTGCCCTTCTCCAGGCCACACTCGGACAGGTTCCACAGTCCTCAGCTCACGCTGTCCTGCTCAGGGCTGGGAGCACTGAGTTCCCCAGACACCCATCAGTTCTATCCTAAATATGGTCTGTTCCTTCCATAAGACATCAGTCCAGTCTCCTGTGTCCAAACAAGACGGCACTGTATTAAAAGAGAAATCCTGGAAATTCAGTGCAGGGGTTTCTTTCTTCAAAGGAAAAGAACGCGAGTAGCTAGAGAGATGGCTCAAGAGCAAAACGTGCTTACTGTTCCAACGAGGGACTCGGGCTCAGTTCCTCGCACCCACATAGTGGCTCATAAATGTCTGTAGCTCCAGCTGCAGGAGATCCAATGCTCTCTTCTGGCCTCTGAAGGCACCAGACACGCACAAGGTGCTCAGACATGTATGCAGGCAAAACACTCATAAAATAAGAATAAATCTTTAAAAATTAAGAAAATCATGCTTGTTTCTGTAGGCTCCCGAGATAAAACCAGTCTCGCTGAACATAGCGGACAATGAGGACTACTGAGACCTCAAGAACAATGGCAATGGGTTTTGATCCTACTGCACGTATTGGCTTTGTGGGAGCCTAGGCAGTTTGAATGCTCACCTTACTAGACCTGGATGGAGGTGGGTGGTCCTTGGACTTCCCATGGGGCAGGGAACCCTGATTGCTCTTTGGGCTGACGAGGGAGGGGGGCTTGATTGGGGAAGGGGGAGGGAAATGGGAGGCGGCGGTGGGGAAGAGACAGAAATCTTTAATAAATAAATAATTAAAAAAAAGAAAACAAAAAAAATTAAGAAAATCAGACACATTGTATCTCCCTAAGGTTTTCAAAGGTATAATCTTTTCACAGGCAGATAAAAAAAAGGGACTAAGAAGAGAAGGGGGAGAAACCTAAAGGGCATTGGCCTAGTTTTAAAGTGTAGCAAGGTCCAAAGATACTAGAAGAATTAAAACACTTCTGGGTAGAGAGTGTGTGAACCACATAGAGAAAATGGCAACATTTGACGATGATGTTTATCCAGAATATATTATAAGTAATTCTAAAAAGAAATAAACACAGCTTTAAAACCTAATCATTGCATCAAAACCTAGATAATAAATGTTAATGCTTTATTAAAATATTTAATCTTAAGGAAACTATGGATAATAAATATTGACTCAGTCTCTAGCAATGCAATCTAAATGACCTAAAAATTTAGAGTATACCAACCAGTTCTCAAAATGTTACTTTAAAAATATTCCAAAGCTCAAGAGATGAAATGACTAATACTGTTAAAATGAATGCAATTAACTGCACCTAATTCTATTTAATGCATTATATGAACAACAGTCAAGGAAATAGCATGGAGGACGCAGGGAACCTCAATCCTATGTGCAATTTTCATTAACTCTAAAAGCATTTTATAAAACATTTTAACAATGTTTTAAAAACTTAATAGTTTCCTCAAAACCAGTAATAATGAGCTGAAAAATATCGTAAACGCTAAAGTCAGATTAAACAAGCCAGGACTTGTGGATGAACTCATCTGAAAGAGTTAAGCTTCATCAAAAGAGAAGGGGGAAGGAGGGCACAGCCGTACTAATACATAAAACTAGAAACTATGACAAACATCCTTTTCTAAGAAAGGTAAATGTCACAACTTTAGAAATGCCTGTGACGTGGTCGTTCCTAAACAGAATTCCTATAGCAGTACACCAAAAGCTCAGTAAACATGACCAAAAAGGGATGGAAAGAACGCAATGGGGGAAGAGAGCCATGAGCGAGACTTCAGGACAAGACATGGCCAGCCACTGGTCTTGTGGACTCACTGAAGCTGTGGCTAGCTGCAAAGGATCCTCATAAGACTGAGACCCTGCTCAGAATGTCTTCCCCTCACTGAGGGTCTACAACAGTGTTCTCAAGCTGTGGGTCATGATCCCTTCAGACCCTTTTGGGGTCTGAACGACGCTTCCCCAAGGTTTGTCTAAAACTGTCTGCATATCATATATTTACATTATGATCCATAATAGTAGCAAAATTCCACTTATAAAGTAGTAATGGAATAATTTATGGTTGGGTGTCACCACAACATGAGGAACTGTATTAAAGAAAGGCAGCATTAGAAAGGATGAGAACCACTGGTCTAGAGGCATGTTAATGTTTCCTTCAGTGTTGTAGCCAGTGATAAGTTGCCTATGTTCCAGTAAATAACACTATACTCGTGCTTATCCAAAGAACCATAATTAATCTCAGTGGGAGACATACACATACACACACATGCACATACACAGACACACATGGACACACACACACACACACACAGGACATCAAAGTAGGAAGGGTCTGTTGTCAGAAGAAGGGCTTCAGCAGAACAGTGAGGGAAGTGAGAAAGGATAATGGGGGTGGAAAATGCTTGAAAATTCATTCTATACACTCTGATCACGTAAGCATAGGCATAGAGACATCGATAATGAGATGCTTTAAACAAAAGAGCTTAATGACAACTGTTCAACCTTTTCAACAAAACAGTGTTTGTGTCTTTAATCAGGAACTGGACTTACAGATCAACAATTCTATGTAACACATATTATCATAACAAATGTATTCATGTTTAAAGCACAAACAATAAAAAATTATTTCTCTTTAATTTCAAACTGTAAAGTGCTTGTCCCTTTTCTTTTGTTCACAGAAAGATTAGCCCCAACTAAATACTATACTTCAAATTAGTGCTGTTCGTACATTTCTAGAACATAGAAGTAAATACTTTTCAAAAAAGAACTGTTAAGTAGGTCAATCTAAATCTTGGATTAGTCACAAATTTCTACAGGTTCCTTTTACTATAAATATGGATATCTTCCAAGAAAAGCTACAAAACACCCCTAAAGAAATAAAGTCTCATTTAATCACACTCCCACCTCCTAAGGCTCAGGGATCATCTCATAAGAGTGGGCAGAAAAGTTGTAAGAAACAGAGGTACTAGATGCAGACAGCAAGATGAAGATGGTGTTTTCTGGACATGGCAGGCCTATTGCACACATGAATTCACAGTAGCTGCGACTAAATGCATAAAACTGAGCCAACCAAAATCAGAATGGATGGGAGAGACTCACTCTGTCCCCTTCTAGTTCAGGGGATCCTAGCAGTGGATGGCTACTGTCAGAGAGAAAGTGAGTTTTCTTCAGGGATTTGGGAGACTCCCCAAGCTCCAGTTGATGCTCCATGCAACCAGCAACTAGCAACAGCATTAAGTGAATTCAGAAGATTTTAAAAGAGAGGAACAAAGGAGAGGGGGAAGGAGAGACTAAGAGGGAAACCTCATCAGGGGAGGAAAGGAAGGAAGTAGAAGGGAGTAGATTTGACCAAAATACATTGCATGCAAGTATGAAATTCTGAAACAATAAATAAATAATTTAATTTTTGTCAACAGTACAACATTGCCTTCTGAATAAAATTTAACACAAAGTTTTTTCACCATTTTACCTGTTTGCAATAATTAAAATCATAAGTCAAGATAAAACCTAATTATTTGCCCTGGAATAACTGGTTGTCTCCTTTCGAGCACAATACCTCTACCTCTACTCATATATTATACATAATAGTCTCTTTGAAATCCAATTCCTCCCCAGTTTTCAACAAGAAAGTCATAACTGTTTTAGAAATTTACTATTAAGATGGATATGGAAGCAAAAATTGAACAAGCCCCCAATTTAACTAGTGTATGAGAGAATTATGAGAAAAATCAACCAAACCAGGCCTTTCTTATGTTAAATGGAGGAGCAGTAAAGAAGTTGAAGAGAATTTTACTATAAAAAGAAGAGTATGGACTAATGTCCTACTCTCGAAAACAATGGAGAAATGAGACTAACCTGGGCCATTTAAATACTGTGTCAGTGAACAGTGCAACCGGACGATAATAGGTTCTGTTCGGATCACTTCCCAAGCCACAGCAATCTCCTCCTGCACAAAAAAATTGAAAAGATGAGTTTGGCGTCTTTCAAACCTTAAAATAAAAAACAAATCATGACTTTTAAACTTAGGCTAATGGAATACATAAATTGTAAGGACCTATAAATTATTTCAACAAACAATGTTGTGTAAAAAGGAGGCCAAAGTATTCTTTCATTTTTGCCTTTCTGTATGACAAATAAAATTGAGACCTTATATAATAAAGTACTCTAACTAAAACACAGATGGTTCAGGATATATGGAAAAACAATGAAAACAATGTATGATCCCAGCTTCATTGATCAATCTTCATAAATCACTTGAAGAAAAGCAGAGCATGATGGTGCTGAAAAACAACCCCAAACTGAGTGTCTTAGAATGAAGATAAATCCCTTTAAATGTGTGGGGCATATTATAGAAATTGACACTTACATCCAGAAAGCTGACATCAATGTGCAGATCAATATCTACGTCATCAATAGCTCCATATTCCCTGGAAGCAAAGATTAACATGAATGCTTTCATTTTCTTTAGTAGTTAGTATGTGACTGGTTATTGTAATTAAAAAGATAGTCACTAATTCAGATTGTTGACTTTTTTGTTTGTTTCGGTTTTTCGAGACAGGATTTCTCTGTGTAACAGCCCTAGCTGTCCTGGAACTAGCTCTTGTAGACCAGGCTGGCAGCAAACTCACAGAGATCTGCCTGCCTCTGCCTCCTGAGTGCAGGGATTAAAGTCATGAGCCACCACCTCCTGGCTCTAATTGCTGACTTTTAAGATTAGAAATGACCTTGTATATGAATAAACTAACTTGGACTGTCATCTTTTTTGTCTATTTTTGCAATAAAACAGATATATATTATGCATGCATTTGCATACATAAATTCAAGAGTTGCTTGTTCCATGGTACCAAAGAGTCCCGGTACCCTGAGTCACAATAGTGTCCCCATATGACTGCTCCAGTATCCCCACCCATTCACTGGACAAGGAGCTGACTTTAAGGGAAGAAAGGAGTTTCTGATATGAACAAATAAAAGAAATATGCTAATAGATTCTTCTTCTGCCGTGGACATGGGCGGCTTGGAAACTGGTCCAGCTGCTTTTACATGCACAGCTCTGTGTTCTCTGTACAGGTAGCCCAAAGTCTGACACAGGGGACATGCAGCTAAATAACGACTATATGATCCACATAAAGGCAATCCAGTCAATACCCAGTGTGGGATTTATTTTTCCCTTGTTTTTCTTTCTTTTTTTAATGCATATGTTAAAACAGCACTCTGCCTGTGCAGTCTATCCCTGGGTTATATAAAGACATTATGAAGGCCAACTTATGTACAGCATGGCTCTTAATTTATGTAATTTATTGAAAAGAAAACAAAAATAATATTCTTAATATACGTGTCCATATTTTTATATGCTCATATAATTCTTATGGAGTTGTGAATAGAGAATCAGGGATAAAATATGGAAATAACCAAAATTAAAGAAATTAATAGGCAATACTTAAATTGAACTCATAGTTGGTAGAAAATGTTCTGAGGAATATATATATTCATATATATATATATGATAAATTATATATATGATAAATTAATGTCCACAAAGCATGGCTAGTGATTTAGATCAACTGGGAGAGTGTTCACTAAGCATACGTGAAACCTTGGGATTGACCTCCAGGTACCGCATAAATTCATGAATGGTGCTGCATACCTGAATCAACACTCTGGAGGCAAAGTCAGCAGGATCATAAGTTCAAAGTTATCCTTAGCTACATAGTGAGTTCAAGGTCACTCTGGATTATGTGGGAAATCAAGGAGGGAAAGAGAGAGCGGGAGGGAAGATGGGGATGCAAAACCTTGCCAGGATCAAGACATGAAGAGAAATTATTGGAAATAATTCAACTGAGTAACAAATAACAAAGATATACTTACACGACAGTATCCTAATGTTAAAAACTTCTCTTGGGCCAGCAAGACAGCTCAGTGGGAAAAGATCCTCGCTACCAAGTCTGACCTGAGACTGATCCCTAGGACACATGTGGGGGAAGAAAAGAATCGACTCCTCCAAGCTGTCGCTTGGACCTCTACAGGCGAATGCTCACCGGCACACTCTTTTATGTGTATGTACACACACACACACACACACACACACACACTAAATGTGTTAAGCAATGGGAAACAAGCACTCGACCTTCCTTTTTTGATTGCCTCATTTCTAGTTTTATTAAATCACCTTAATTTTCATGTTTTTTTTTCAAATGCTCAGTAAAGAGTATATCTGGAAGACCTCCCCTACTCACCCTCACAAACCTGAAAGACTATTGTATAAGAAATACAGTGTCCATTTTGAGTTCATTTTATAAAAAAGTTCCAAATTCTATAAAAACATAGACCTAACCACTGACTAGAAAGGTGATACTAATCTATGTTTTAGAAACAGAAAAATATGTGCAAAACTAACTCTTAACAGCATCATTAGAGAACATGCTTCTTGAGAGAAAGGGTCTTACTGTGTAGCCACGGTTGGTTTCAAACTCCAGAGCCTTCTGATCCTAGTCTTCCCAAGTGTGGGATTACAGGGGTGAGTCCCTACACCTGGCATTAGTTTTGCCTCAGCTTCACTCTAGTCTTTCCCATATAAAGTATATTTTTTTCTTGTTATTTCTCTCCTTCGGTCAAATTAGTGCTTTCTGTGGTGCTCTTCAAAATCACAGATTTAAACGGCTGCAAGAGTGAAGCTACTGTGAACCAATTAAACCACTCCGATGCACTGGGTTCTTTTGCATCATAAATACTGACAAAATGCTTCCTCAGAAAGCTCTACACACCTGTCTTCTCATAACAGTAATTTCTGTAATGATGACGTCAAATGCATGGGATGACTTATCTGAGACAGTCGACAGATTACTTAGCTGTTATTCGAAGGGTTAGAGTGACCTATAATCACAACAGCCCATTTATCAAGATTGCTGCTTCCCACATCTTTGTCACGATGCCTTCTCTTTCTCTCCTCTTTATAATTGCATTAGTAGAACATCTTAGCTTGAAGTGTGTGGGTAAGAGGCAGAGAGGAAGGATTCAGACATACACAAAATCCTAATCCACAGTGGATTCTCTGTAAGTAGCTCAAAGGACCCAATAAATAGAAAGGCATTGTCAGAATATGGCATGTATTTTAAAACCATTCATTGTGAACATTAAAAGTATTAATAGTCCAAGGATGATTTCCTTGGATTTTTCCATCAATACTTTCTTCCTTATTTCTAGTATGTTTTTTTTTTTTTTTTCTAAAGGAAGTGAGATCCTGAGCTACCGGCCCTCTTCTTCACCATGGCAAAGCACTGGAACACTACTTTAAGAAGGCAATTAGCAGGGCTATACATGCATATATCTGGAAACGGTTACACTCCTTTTTGTTTTGAATTCAGAGTTCACTGTGCAGATACAAACTCATTTTGGTGGTGATGTCCCTTTTACATAATGCCAGTAATTTCATGTTTCCCACTGGGAGACACAAAGCGTGATTACAGTTTGTCCAGATGGAGTGACCTAGTTATCAAGACCACTTCTGTATCCAAATCACTGTCCACGGCTCAGATCGGCAACAGAAACGCACTGAATGCTGACGGATGAAAGCCATTCGAACTGTGACGGCGATCTGGATGCAGGACTCAGTTTATGATGAAACAATTTTGAGTACAGCCTCAATTTATTTGCTGTGACAAGACCACGTCAAATTGAAATTGAATATTCCCCCCTTAGTTTTGAGATAGGGGAAATTACAGAGAAATAATTTACTGTGGTTGGTTTACCCTGGAATGGCGGGTCCAGGAAAATCTGCTACATAATGGTCCTCTCTACCCACAGCCTGATTTCTGGCTTTTTAAAGAGCTTCTCCTTAAGTCGACATATTTTGAAAATTACATAATACTTAAGATACTGACAGGTGATAGTGATTACCCGAAAATATCTGCATACGCCAGGATCAATGACAGGCATGAAGAGCCCACGGCCCTGTCTGGGCTTCATAATGGGTTCAAGACACCTGCAGCGCCCCAGGACAAGGTAGAAGGTGTAGCCGCTTAGTGATCTGATGTAGCCCAGCATGCCCAGGACCCTGAATCTGATCGCTAGCTTTTTAAAAGGGGAGACGTGTTTATTGTCAATAATCATAAGTTTATGAAGACACTGTGAGAAACTGGTCACTGCCTTTTCCTGTTTTTAATGGCACCAATCAGGAAATGCTCCTTAGCTGGGCAGGGGTGGCACATGTTTTTAATCCCAGCACTTGGGAGGCAGAGGTAGGTGGATCTCTGTGATTTTGAGGCCAGCCATGGCTACAGAAAGAAAATATCCACAAAGACAGACAGACAGAGAAGATGGAGGGTCAGAGCGGGGACAGAAGGAGGAGAGATGAAAGGTTCATGACAAGCCATGGGGAAAAAAAATCAGTAGGTAGCATCTCTCCATGGTGTCAGCATAAGTTCCTGCCTCTAGGCTCCTGCTTTGCTGTCATGTTCTGGCATCCTTCAGTGTTGGACTATAAAGTGTAAGCTCAAATAAGCTCTCCCACTTCCCCCCAAAATAAATGCTCATGAGACATTCAAATATATATTAATATATTTAATGTGTATACTATACAGAATATTAGACTATACTGGCTTTTCTTCTCTAAAAACCTCAGTTTGTTCAGTAACCTCAGTTACTGTTACTATAGTTAAAACAACTTGATCAAGGTTATTTGTGAGAATACTTATTATCAAAACATTTTAAATATCTATTTTTTCCTTATTAACTGTCAAAAAGCTATAGATTTATATATACACAATTCTACCCAAGATTCTTGAGAAACAAACATTTACTGTTATTGAACTTCTCCTACTTCCAACCACTAGGCAGTGACACTTTGAGAAGCTCCGTAGGAAGAAACACACACCTTCCTGTGACATCTGAAACTCCGCAGCTTGCATGTCTATCTCTGCATGCCTACTCAGTGTGTGTTTCTGCCCAGTGTGGGAGAGATGTTTGTGAATGGGCCAAGAAATATGCAAACTCAGTCACCGGGAAGAAGTCTTGGCAAGATTAAAGCTTTTCCAAGACTGTTATCCAACACAGCTATAAATTGCTCAAAGAGACAAGCTGAGAAGACTTTAGATGCAGACGAGAAGGCAATGCAATCTTTTGTGAGACAAAACAATAGTGCAGAAGAGGATTAGAACAGAAAGCTTCTGTGGCTTTATGGGCAGCTTAAAAACCGTTGCTTTTGCCTGAACGAAGTCCAGGCTTTGGGAGCAGAGATGAACATGCAGAATCTGATGGACCGAAGCTTATATCTCAATTACATTTGTGTGACTGGAAGACCCTTCCCCTTTTAGTTACTTTGCACTGTGCGTGCATGTCCTCTCAAGGCTTCCCTGATTTTGAGTTACAGAATTTTTTTTTAATACCCTCAACTCAGAGAGACTGTCGAGAATCACTATGCTAGATAGGATACTACACACCTGCAGCTCAACATCTTCCTTTGATGAATAACAGAATTCTGTGTAGGCTCCCTTGTGTGGTGAAGAAGCATCCTCAAGATCTCAATGACTCAACACTAATGGTTTGTACTTCACCATACAAGGGACTGAGGGAATGGGGTCTGGTCATGATTGTGGTGCCAAGGGGGACAGAATGCAGAAGGCACAGGACTAGAGACACACTCTCCAGCACATATGTACATAATTCACTGGCCAGGATTGTTGTATGTCTATGCCAAGTACCAAAGGGGCCAGGCAAAGAGAACACAATGCCATGACAGGACGGGGAGAAACGAGGAGAAGGCAGCACTTCCTAGGAATGGTGTAAATGGAAAGTTACAGGTTCAGAAGAATGGACGTGGATGACCTGAGTTATACCTAAGTTTTTTTTCTCCCTTTGCTTTATGTTTATTTTTTATTTTCTCTTAGGAGATACTGGCATCATGGTTATCGATCTAGTGATATTCATTTGTTCTCCAAGTATCGGATCTTCAGAATACTCTTGTTCTCCAAACGTCAAATCAGAAAGACTAATCCCAGCCATCCACCAATAAAGGCAATCAAAACGTGCCACTCCCACGAACCTGGGAGCATCCTGCCACATCATGCCTTAGCTACAGTAAGAGGCTGGGTACTCCAACAATGCCAGTATTTTAAAAATGAAAAATGTCATCATAAACGAAAGATCAGGTATCTAAGATAGAAGTTTGACATTTCACAAGGTGACTACCGAAACCATCTCTTTCCAGGGGAATGAAACTTTCTTTCAATTTCTAAAATTCCTCAACTCAGATTGTTTCCAAATGACTAGTTTATGAACACACAGATAAAGGACTGCATTTACAAGAGAAACACATACATGCGCATAGTGCTATATGATTCAAGATGAAGCACATTTACACCAACCAGCAGATATTTATCCTATAGGATCTAACTCACCGCCCATTCACAAGATTCTGTGTCAAAATCATCCTCAACCCTGACATGCATGGTTCCATGCAGCCACTGTTTCGTTTCTTATGTAAGGACGGATGGAGATTCCATTATCAATATTAGTAATCTATTACCAGTTACTTTTTCCATATCTACATTTAGCTTGCATTTAAAAGGGATTTGCTTCTGCCGAGGCAATCAGCTATTTCTATCTCTTATAAAGAACTCAGATGTGGTTAGCTGCCTTTCTCATTAGGTGTCACATAAAAAAGAAAAAAAGATGACACCAAATAGCCTATTGTGCATATTAAGGTGCTTTTGCTCTTCAAACCCCATTAAGTTCCTTATAAGCCTCAATTAAGTGAAAGAACAGTTAATTAGAACATTCTGGTTTCAATAGAGTTGGAACTCTGCGAGGAAGATTCCAAGGCCTTCTACCTAATGGGTAGTTACTCATTTCCCAGAATGTCTGGGGCCAGAAGACTGGGCTAGGTTGTAAATTCATTTTATCTATTTAAAGTAAATTGAACAAGTTTTGCTGTGGTCTACTTCATGTCAAGAGACTTCTGGAGATCATTTGTTCAGCAACCATCTTCTATAGCTAGGAATAAAATCTGGACAAGGCAAGACTACAGCTTATATTGAGATTTAAGTGGGATCAAAACTGTTGTACGGGAAATAGGCAAGGAGAAAAAAATCAAGTCATTTATGAGTTTTAGGCATTTCATTTGGTTGGAACTCCAAGCACTTTTATGTAGTTGTAGCACATCATAACTGTCAATACCATGCTATTAATAGAACACTAATAGGTAGACCACCAGACTTGCCAAACCGTGAGGAAACAAAACTGTCATAGTCTTATGACAGCTAAGAAAATATGGGAATGTGTTTTAGAAAAAAACTTAAATATAAAAAATATCAACTCTAAGCAATAATAGGTGCTTTAAGGGGAAGATGGGAAGCTGAATTCCAGGTTCAATCATATTTATATTTCATAGCCTTCTTTTAGTGGGGAGATTATTGCATTCAAAATTAAAATTTTAATCCTTAGCCATAAGAGAAGTACAAATCAAAACAAATCTGAGATTCTATCTTACACCTGTAAGAATGGCCAAGACCAAAAACACTGATGACAACTTATGCTGGAGAGGATGTGGGGAAAAGGGAACACTCCTGAATTACTAGTGGGAGTGCAAGCTGATACAGCCCCTTTGGATGTCAGTGTGGTGATTTCTCAGAAAATTAGAAAACAACCTACCTCAAGACCCAGCAACACCACTTTTGGGTATATACCCAAAGGATGCTCAATTGTACCACAAGGACATGTGCTCAACTATGTTCATAGCAGCATTATTTGTCATAACTAGAACCTGGAAACAACCTAAATGCCCCTAGACTGAAGAATTTATACGGAAAATATGATTCATTTACACAAGGGAGTACCACACAGCAGAAAAAAATGATGAAATCTTGAAATTTGTGGGGAAATGGATGGATCTAGAAAACATCATATTGAGTGACGTAATCCAGAGCCAGAAAGACAAATACCATATGTACTCACTCATAAGTGGCTTTTAGACATACAAAAAAAAATAAGCAGCCTACATTTCACAATCCCAGAGAACCTAGACAACAAAGAGGCCCCAAAGAGAGACATACATGGATCTAATGTACACAGGAAGTAGAAAAAAGACAAGATCTCCTGAGTAAATTGGAAGCATAGAGACCATGGGAGAGGGTAGAAGGGGAGGGGAGGGAAAGGTAGGGGAACGGAGAAAAATACATAGCTAAATAAAAAATTAAAGTTTTAAGTTTCCTAGAAAAGTTCTACTATTGTAGGAAAAAAAAAAAGAAGCCATAGTTTTGGATAATTTGCCAGTGGCTCCTATACCATCCTCATGCATACATTATGTAACACTGAATGTCCACAGTACTTAATCTGGACCACACAGCAGACCACCTGTGGAATGATCACAGCGTCTTAGCTAAATTTTGAAAAGCTGTAAAAACTTCATTTACTGAGTATAATCCCACCATTGTCAGCTTCATGCACCTCCAAAATTGAGAGAGATGCTCTGGGGACTCAATCCTCACTTATCTAGGCTACAGGGGGCAGTGAACTGTTATTTCCAAAATCGAAATGAAATATTTGGCAATCATAAATTACTGATGTGTAGACTTCCAAAGTAAAAATATTTGTTCATCTTCTCGAACTAGGGTACGTCCACTGAAGAGCGACAGCCAGATAGTGTGTCCTCTTCAGACTCTGCCACTGGAAACAGTCAAGAATCCACCATGCAATCTATCTTGTGCCATCTCCCCATACGATGTTGAGTTCCAGAACAATGATTTAAAAAACAAACCAAAGCAATACCACAAATAAAAGGCGGTGCCACAACTATCACAAATCTCAGTCCAGTTGGTAAATTATTAATAAAGCACAGAAATGTAATAGTGCTGGGTACACAGAACACAGGCTGAGCGGTCTATACTGAGATCTGAGGAGGGCTTAAGCAGCTGACCCTCACAGTGGTGCACACAGGGAGGACTCCTCGACAAGAATCAACCTGTGCAAGCGCTGGGTCCCCGGTCCAGCTGGGATGTTTGGTAGGTAGGGCTGGAACTGAGGTCAGGCTGTTAAAGGAGCCTAGAATTCCATGGAGACACAAAGACTACACTATATGCAAAGAAAGACTCTAAACTAAGCCACCCTGACTTCTAGGTGCCAGCATAAGGACACAAACGACATCTTACACTAAACAGATAAAGACCATAGGGAGGGGAGTCTCCCAAAGCATTAAGTATCATAAAAAGTAACTAGAAAGTTTATTACCAGATATTAATTGCAGACTAAAGCACACTATCATTCAAACCATATGTATTAAGTCTCCCACCCCTCCTTCAGTGGGCATGTAACCTGTGTACTAGAGTTCTGCATTATTTAATTTCATTGTTTATAATGACACAGCCCTGACTTACAGAAACATCTACTATAGTGAACAATAATGGCACTTTTCCTGTTTTTGGTGAAGGATCTTGCTATACAGAGCCACATGATGTCAGACTAATAATCTTCCTAGTTCAGCTTTACTACTTGTGAAATCAGGAGTGTATGCTGCCTTACCCAGATAAGTATACATTTAAAGACTGCTGCTTCTTAAAACTCACTCTCAAAATGAATTATTTCTTTAAGGAACTAATTTAACTTTAAAATAATTAGTAACAAAAAAGTCAGAAAGCTGTCATTCTGCACCAGGAGAGACACAATACAACCCCCTCAAACATTTCCAAACACAATCACAGAAAAGAATTTTCCTTGAAGTTACTCTAACAGAAAATTCCAATGGCTTATGAAACAGTGTAACACACTGAAGCTGTTTACCTGAGAGAAACTGCATGTGGTCCATAGATCTCTCTCACTGCTGACAAATCAGCCTCCAGCTGAGGATGCTTATGGAGTTCGCCATCATAGTTCACCTGCCAGAAAGGATAATTCAGAACTAAGAGACCACACGGCCTGTGCAGAAGCCTCCTGGCCTTACAGGTAAGCTGACAGCATCCGCACAAAGTTCTTCAATCCACTTACGGCTAGGACAATTCATTATGTTTTAAAGTTAGAATCAGACTTTCTAAATTAACTTTAAGAAGATTCTCCCTGTAATTACAGTCTTCTTTTTACTCATTTATTTTATATACACACATATAGGTGTTATGTGTATGAATATATATATGTATATATATATAGTCTGAGCATGTCATGTTTTCCTACTTAGCAGTCCATATGTATAATAGCATTAAAAATAAAAATCTATTTGTTAACATAAATAGTTAGCATGCTGATTTCAATAGAAACTCAAACATTTTATTCTTCATAACTTTCTTGTTCCTTGTATATGTGCCAAGAGCCAAATCAATAGTTATCTTCCCGCTTATTCAAATATGTTAAGTAGTAAGCAATAGATCAACATATACATCTTGGATAAGAACTCCAGAGAATATGGTTGGTTGACCAGAACTCTCTTTTACCCAAGCATAGATCTAAAGTCCTAAAGTTGATGAATCACAAGACTAGTTCTATCATGTCTGTAAGAGGTTATTCATCAGATTGAAAAACCTATTGTCAAACTGTGAAGTCCTTCTTAATCTGTTACTTCAATTTACTTTTCTTAAATATAGTCTTTTGTCTCTTGTGATGGTGTTCAAACTGGAAAAGAAATCCTAAACACCCGAATGTGCATTTAAAAGTTTATGGCATACTAGAATACCCTGCAACTGACACTGTGGAGTTTTTTTTCTCTTCATTTCTCTTACTGTGTTGTGGAGCAATCCTTTATATGACATTCATTTCTACTCAGTATGACTTCTGTCTTCTGTTTCTATTTGCATTATGTATTTCAAATATACATCTGCGTGATGGAGTATGCCAATACATAATGCCTTCCAGTAGCAAGGAACCAGGGACTGGATTATTCCTTTGTACTTTCACTGCACAGTTACATCCCAGGAGATACATCCTTTCTACTTCCAACCTTTTTTTTGTGATATGCCTTTCATTTTCTAAATTCACTTTATAAAGAATAAAAATGTTTGAAAGGAATGAATGACTGGCAGATAGTCTAGAAACCTTTTAGAATGAACAGCTAGATGGAAGAAAAGCAGCAAATTCCCCTCTGGAAGAAGGAGCAGTGCAAACAAAAAATCAGACTTGTAAGGATTCTTTTGCGTACTGGATACAGTACTCTCTAGTTAGGTAAGTGCCCAGGAGCTAGTAAGTTACTCCGTGGAAGAAAGCCAAATTTACTATGGCCACATTTCTATTGCCTTGTCCATGTCTGATTTATCAAGTACTGATTTTTTTCTGAATATATGCCATATGAATTCTTTTCCATAATAAATTTATCTTTAAAGGTCTACTTAATCATATTATGGTTCCATCACAGGACACAAACTACAATAGCATTTCATCAAAGAGGTTATAGAAACATAATAATATACTGTATGGTTATATCCTAAAATCAAATGCTCGATTTTAAATTTAAACATTATTCAGGAAAAGTCTTATGACTTTTTATAACACATATATCTAACATATATGTGTTATGGGATATTTATACACTGGGTGAAAATGTATTGCTGTAATTGGTGTAATAAAAGGTGAACTGCCAATAGCTAGAGAGAGGTTAGATGGGACTTCTAAAAACAAAGAGGATGCTGGGAAGGAGATGCAGGAGACATGAAAAGGATACAGGAGGTGCAATATGGAAAAGAGATAATGCCACGTGATAGAATATAGATGAATATAAATAGGTTAAAGTGACTATAAGAGGATAGGAAGATGGCCAGAGAGAGGGAGGAGGAACAAGAAGGTAAATGCAGGATGTCCTTCTGTATGCTGCAACTGTGTTGCTTTTATTAGTTGATGAATAAAGCTGCTTTGGCCTATGGTAAGGCAGAATGTAGCTAGGCAGGAAAGACAAGCTAATTACAGGAAGGAAGAAAGAGGACTCAAGAGAGATAACAGCTGCTGGAGGAGTAAAATGCCAGAGCATTATTGGTAAGCCACAGGCTACATGGCAAACCACAGATTAATAGAAATGGGTTAACTTATATGTAAGAGCTAGCTAGCAATAAGCCTGAGCTATACGCCAAGCAATTATAGTTAATATAAAGCCTCTGTGTCATTATAAGTGGCTGTTGGACCAGGCAGAACACAGAAAAGCCTCCAGCTATAAGAAGGAGCAAGGGAATATACAGACTATGGTTAAAACAAAGGGGAACTATTTGAAGGAGGAAGAATACCAAAAAGAGGGGGAGAAAGGGTGCATGGGAACAGAGTAGAATGGTATCTATGTGTGAAAATGTCACAGCAAAGCCTATTTTCTTGCATGCTAACCAAAAATTTAGTAATAAAAGAAGGCATTGTGAAAGCCCAAAATGATCATCAAAATCAAAGTGCAAAATCTCTATAATTAATTAAGACAGCAAATGAGTGATCTCAGTAGAAAGATCTGCAAAGGAACTCTTAATTTCTGAAAACGTGTAGAAAGTGAAAACAATCTATTCATGTTTAACCCTTGCTTACTACAGCCTGAACAACTGCTAGGCTGCCTCCTCCCACCAGGACCATACAGCTGTGAAAAGGGAGGCAGGCGACGCACCTGCCCTCCGTAATAAAACTCTTCAGAGTCATTGTCGCCCTCGGAGTCCTCCTCCACCGTGCTGTTCTGCCGCGACTCCTTCGAGTGAAAAAAGAGACAGTTCCAGTGGTCAGGCAAACCAGGAAACAGTGGTAACAGACAGGTCCTGGCAGACCAGGGTTGTTTATGCGGTGCGCTGTCGGTACAACTTCAAAACGGAAGCGGGTAAGGGAGCTAACTTTGTAGACGCACTAAGCTCCCTAAGAGAAGTTGACTAAAAGTGAACCTTCCTGCAGTTTGCTTCCAGGGAGGTAAATATTTGCAGCTTCACATTTAATGAACATCAAAAGCTCTGTAGAATCAGCTATGCTCTAGGCTTTCTCTGATAGAATGCTTGACAGGCTCACACTAATTCAATGCTTATTAAAAAGCTTGTCAGCATTATTTATCCAAGATGGTTTCCACTTCCACTGCCAACACAAAGCAACAATATGAAAGAGGAAACTTGGAATGAAATAGTGGGGGGGGGGAATCAAATCATGCAACTGGATATGAATCATAATACAAAGAGAACTTCTAGCGTACTGAAATGATTTGTTTGGAAATTCAAATTTCACGAGGGTGTTTAATTTAATATGCTTTAACTCGATGTCTGAGTTTTTAATTAACTGAGCCGAACATCTGTCATATTATCTGAAGCACAATGAAAATCCATGGTGGTATTTCTATCACTGTCATGATTAGCAAAATTTGTTTGTGTGCTTGTTTGGTTTTTAGGGAAAATTTTGAGAAGAAAAAAAAAAGCAGCATTTCCTTCAGATTCAGATCTCTATTCATCCACATCACTAATAAGACCTAAATTTCAAGTTATTGAGCCAGTATGATAATCAAGAAGAGGGGCTTTGAATGAGGTGACATTATAACAGGTTTTGGTCAGTGAGAGCTTTCTTCAAGATGTAATTTTCACAGTGGATGTATGTAAGGGGGAATCTCAAAGAGTGGCGCAACACTAACAGCAAGGGAAGGGTCATATTGCAAGAATGACTTTCTTTGTTACTTAAACTATTTTTTTATTTATTTTGCATACCAGTTTCCTCTTCTTCCTTTCCTCCTGTCCCCTCTGCTTTCCCATCTACCTCCATGCCAACCACTCCTCCTCCATCTCCATTCAGAAAGGGACAGGCCTCCCGTGGGCCTGCACAGAGCATGGCACATAGAGTTGAGTCAGGACCTAGCTCCTCCCCTTAGGTCAGGTAATCCAGTATGGGGAACAGGTTACTAAACTAAGCTAAGCACCAGGGAGAGGTTCTGTTCTCACTGTTAGAAGCCTTACTAAGAGACCAAGCCACACGATCGTCACACATACAGAGGGCCTGCGTTGGTCCCATGCAGGTTCCCTGACTGTTGGTCCCGCATCTATGAGTTCCCAAGAGCTCAGACCATCTGTCTCTGTGGGTTCCCCCATCATGACCTCCCTGGGTGGTACAATCCCTCCTCCCTTTCTTCTGGAAGACACTCAGCAGAGTGCTTGGCTGTGAATCTCTGCCTCTGCATCCATCGGTTACTGGATAGAGTATCTCTGATCGCAATTAGAGAAGTTACCAATCTGGTAAGCATAACTTTCAATCCAGTTACTGCTGTCCATTGTACTTTCTCTATGTAATGTCCTGATAGCTATTTGTATATCAAAGTAAAAATCTTTTAAAGCAAGGACATGAGAAAAACTTGTTTGAGGATTTTTTAAAACAATAAATAAATAAATAAATAAATAAATAAAACCACTGGAATATAATGTCTACCCTTGTGTCTCTGCTACTTTGGCTTAAAAGACCAGACATTCTACACACATAACTGTAAAGATCTCATCAAAATTATTCATAGCCATGTATACTTGTGATACAAGGCATATGGGTGTTTTCTGTCAACTACATTGTTATATATAAACAATAAAAAATGAATTATGTGGCATGTATATTTTATATAGATTATATTCTATTAATTTATAGCAGGAACTTCTTTTGTGGGGTTAATTCTAGGTCAGTCTTAGCACCATACAAAAAGTTGTCTCCCTTTCATTCACCCTAAGTTACCGTAGCATAAACAAGACACTAAATGCAAACACCTGGTAAACTGCAAGCACTACCAAAATAGAAAGTCAAATGAAATGAAATTTACATACCTCCCCATTTTCCTTTTGTAGTTTGGATCTTATGGATAAACAACAGTTAATATCATTTGTTTTTCTTAATTCTGCAAGAAAGAGGTTTTTAAATTACTTTGGACTTTAGCATATTGTTTGCCAAACATTCACGAGTTCCTAGGTAAAACCGTTGTAGGCTTTTCTCCCCTTTGGTGGAAGAATTGAGAGATATTTTGAAGACAGATCATGCAAGTGCTTCTGATTTTTCATTTTGCATACAAATGCTAGTAACTTAGAGAGCAAGCGCACAGATTGCTTCAACTCTTGCTTATTTCAAGGCAGCTTCAGTGCCCCAGGGTTTCTGTGTTCAGTTTGTCTGCAGAGCCATGATGGAAAAAAACAGTTTCAAGAGTAATGTTGACATGATACATATAAACATTACTAAAAAACAAACATCCTTCAGATATAAAAATTATATGAACAGACTTATGAGAGGTAAATACTTGTGTTTGCTACTAAAAATAAAGAGCGTCAAAGTAACAAGTATAAAAAAACTAAATTACCTGTTGCTATTCTATGGAAAATGACAGGAATTGGGTCTGTAGTAACTAGTACGTCCTCATCATTTTCTGAACTTGACACATATGTATTGTCTGCAAAGAAATATGAAAAAGACACCATATATTGAGTATAAATCCTCTATAAAAGCAACAGACATATCTTCACTTTAATCCAGTTCTCAGAAATAACACATACTGCTACTCTCATTAACTCAGAGAAAAAGGAAGCAAACTTAATGTGTAAGTTAAGCATAAAGTTGCAGCCTTTCCAAAGGAGTCCACAGCTTCCCACAAGAATACAGATTTTAGATGGACAGTATTCAAAACCATGCTTTCCTTTTACTAGAGAGAGGGGTTAAAGATAGAGTTCCCCATGTAGCCTTCAAATTCAGCATCCTCCTGCCTCTGTCTGTTCGGTGTCGTTTACAGGCGGCCTCTCCACCAGACCTGGCTCCTCATCCATTTCTAATAAAGCCCAAGGCAACCAATCATTTGGATACAGGTGCTTGCCTGCATCCAAATCATTTGCAACCAATCATTTGAATGCAGGACAGCGCTCTGCTCAGTATCAATCCATTTCAAAAGATGGGGTACTCGGCTGAGGAGATAACTAAGGGACGTTTGATAGTTTTTAAAAATCGCAAAACCCAAACATGCTGACAAGTCACTTGCAATCCCACCACTTGGGAGGCTGACAGAGGAAGATCACCGAGTTTGAGACCAGCCTTCTTTTACTTAGTGTACTGGTTAGATTTGTCAACTTTACACAAATCAGAGTCATGTGGGAAGAGAGGACCATATTTAAAGCACTTCCTTTATTAGATTCATCTGTGAACATATCTGTGGGCATTTTCTTGATGAATAATTTATGGGGGGGGGGGACTCAGTTTAGTGTGGGCAGTACTACCTCCGGGCAGGAGGCCCTGTGTTACATAAGACAGCAGGCTGGGCAAGCCACGGAAAGCAATGCAGTAAACAGCTTCCTTCCACAAGCCCTGCGGCCTCTGCTCCTGCTTGAGTGTCTACCTTGCCTCCCCTCAGTGACAGACTGATGTGTGACATGCAAGTCAAATAAACCTATTCCTCTCTGAGCTGCTGTTGTTTACCATGGCAATAGAACCCAAACCTGACACACGGGAAGAACCTATCTAAAACTGCACCCTCTGAATTGCTGTTAGGTAACCTGCCATTGAGTCTCACCAGAGTCATTCTTTTACAGATTAATTTTATCTAAATGAACTATACGCTGAATTATAATTTATACTTTAAGTCCTTACATTTCTCTTTCACTATTTTTATCTCAAGAAGAGTATATAAGCTTACCAATTTCTCCAATAAAGATAGACCTCTATGTATGATCAAATAATGTCATTTCATGATAATCTAAACCCCAGCCCAGATGTTTGTCTGTGTTTCTCATTAATGACTGAAGGGCATTTAGAAAACTGCCAACTCACTAACAAACATCCCATAGTAAAGACCTTCAAGGTGGCTCAGTGGGGAATGAGACCTGCTACCAAGCCTGATGCTCTGGGGTCAATCTCCAGGACATCCATGTTGGAAGCAGAGAACTGACTCCTACAAGTTGTCCTCTGACCTCCACATACATGCACAGCAGACAGAGAGAGAGAGAGACAGAGAGAGAGAGAGAGAATACATCTATACATAATACATACATACACACACAGAGAGAGAAATAAATACATAATACATACACACACACATGCAGGGTGTGGTGGCACATATTCTTAACATCAGCATCCAGGAAACAGAGGCAGGCCAATCTCTGTGAGTTTGGGTGTGGTGGCTTGTATAGGAATGGCCCCCGTAGACTCATATGTTTGAATGTTTAGCTCATAGGGAGTGGCACTATTAGGAGGTGGCCTTGTTGGAGGAACTGTGTCACTGTGGGGGTGGGCTGTAAGGTCTCATATGCTCAAGCTACACCCAGTGTTATGACACATCTCTCCCTCTGCTACCTGCAGATCAAGATGTAGAACTCTTCTCCAGCCTCATGCCTGCTTGCACACTGCCATGTCCCACTATGACGATAACAGACTAAATATCTGAAACTCTGAGCCAGCCCCCTTAAATATTTTCCTTTACCACAGTTGCCATGGTCATGGTGTCTCTTCCCAGCAGGGGAAATTCTAACTAAGACACTGGGTGCACACAGTGAGTTCCAGGGTAGCCAGGGAAGCCATGAGACCCTGCCTCAAAAAATAAACTGAAAACAAAAAAAAAAAAAAAAAAACATGAGGTGAGAACAAATAATCTAAAGGCAAATTTCCTATAACACAACAACTGCTAGCTTGCTAAAAATAAAACACCCTCAATAAATAGAAACACAGATCAATTTCTGCTCCAGTAACTGAAAGAAATTTATCTTTAAAAAATATGGAGACAGGTTGTAATAATATTATGTCACTACCGTGAGACTCTGACTTTTAATTGATAGACTTAAGACATTATGGTTCCCCTCTCCTTCAAATGCAGTATTTTTAAATCTTAAAATTAAAGGAAAATGTGTGTGTGTGTGTGTGTGTGTGTGTGTGTGTGTGTGTGTGTGTATTCCACGGAGCAACAGAAGACTCTCTGCGAAGAAGAGGCTTTATTAAGTTATCAAGCGGGATGAGGGGGTGGTATAGACGAGAGTGGAAACAAAGCGAGTCTGCCTCATCGCTTTTATTAGCACTAATCACGAGTTAGGTGTTTGTAATTTTCAGGCACCATCAGGGGCAATGCAACGTAGTCGCGTCTATGACGTGGCCTCACATCACAGACCAAGAAGCAGACTGTGTGCAAACGAATTGTTTTTACATCGAGACGTTGACCATTTATCTGAATTTCCTTCTGTCCGTAGTTTCACGCTTTCAGATCAGGAGCTTAAAATGAGGGGGGATAGGAGGTGAACTCCATTATGACTGAAACTTTTAAATTTTTTGGTGGTGTTGTGTCTGTTTTTGCTTTCAGACACAATCTCCCTGCCTAGTCCAGGAGAAACCAAGAGCGCTTTGTGCCTGAGCACCCCCCTCCAAGGACTGGGGTGATATGGCCAACTTCAGAGCAGATGCTTCTCTTCAACTTTAGTCTTTCTGATGTGAAGCTACTTGCTACCTAATAAAACTAATTCTGTTTTCCTCATAAAGAGAGAAGGAGAGGATGTTTACATAATGTGCCAGAGGTAGAGCACCTGCATAAACAGCAGAGCACTGGATCTCATCACAGCCTGAGGAGAGAAGGCCTAATAAGACAGCATTTAAGAGTAAGGACAGTGGCAAAGGTCTATGCTCCCAGCACTTGAGAGACGGAGGCAGAAAGATAAGAAATTCTAGGCTGTCCTCAGCAACAGGAGAGACTGTCTCCACAATTTAAGAACAAGACAAAGGGAAGGAGGGAAGAAATATTAGAGCAACAGAAGAAAGTGACGGCTACCAGGTAGAAGGAGAGAGAAAGAATCCGCAAACTGGAGAGCATCACGTCATACATTTTTTCAAACAAACCAATTATAATCCTCTTTGAAAAAACAAGGATATCAAAACTAAAGGAAATTAATTCTTTCAAATGACTTAAATAATTAATTGACTAAAAATTGTTAAGTGGTAAAGCTTGAATTTTTCTGAATCAAAAACTCAATAGTTTGTCACTGAGTTGTGTTTTAAATATAGAAACCATAGTCCCTCAAAAACTGTAGCATAATACAAGATATAAATGCCTGTTGACTGTAAAAATAATTACATGTAAGGGCTCTACTTGAATCTTACAAATGCAATTCTCACTTAAGCAGCTGACTCACATTTATACACGATGTTCAAATATGTCATTTGTAAGTCAAGGCTAGGGAGCCACGTGGACCAAATAATCCAGCAACGACCACCTCACTCCTCTAGATGTAACAGAGAAATGGAGAAGAGAGAGTTCAATCGTCACAGTTGGCCAAGCCTCCTAACTTAGGAGAGGAAACCTGAGCAGAACGGATGAGCAGTTTGGTCTTAGCAAAGCCAACCTGTGATTTGCCATGCACATACCATTTCAAATCCATTACCAAAAACGAAATCTCGGTAAGACTCATAGAAGAAAGACAGAAGGTGACTGCACATTTTCACTTGATTTTAAAGAGTGACCTGGTATCTGTGGCATTACACGTGCTCGATTCCATGAAAGACTTCAAACCTTCATTGCATAGACACAGACTATGAAATGCGTGTTCATCAATGGCACGAGTTAATGGAACAACACTGCAAACTGAAAACTGTTCCTAGGGACGTGAGTGGGTGCGGCACACTGCTCCTGACTGAGGGGGACAGTGAGGACACAAGCAGAATAAAGACAGCCCCATACTAACAAGATTAGATGATCCTGGAGTCAAACCATTCTCAAACCCATAACCTTTACCAGAAGGAATTAGTGAAGATAGTACCAAGATTATTGAATTTACCAACCAAAAAAAAAAAAACAGTAAAAGAAGCTATTTGCTTGAAATAATTTTTAAAACATAGGCAAAGGTTCTGTAAAATAAACCAAAGTGTAGGAAGAGAAGAACAAAATATCAGCTACATGAATGAGAATGGAATATTTTACAAGACACCAAACAGTATAGAATTCTTTTTTCTTAAAAGAAACAAAACACACATTTCAACAATATAGCAACTTTTCAAAAGGACATATAATAAAAAAATATTGCTGACATAAAACAAATCCAGAATCATGGCAGGAAAACCACAAATGTCATAAGCCTCTCTTACCACGTCTAAAAAGACAGGCTCAGACAGGATTGCTTGCTAGCTCTATGAATGCTCAAGAGCCAGTCGGCTCCATTAGCATCTTGTAGTCTGTAACACCGAGTACAAAACAACACGCACGCAGTTCCAGCAGGTAACATCGAGTTGCTTAGGGTCAGAGCGTGGCACCTAATTACTTAACGGAGGACGTGATTCCTCAGCAGTGGCCAAGTAAAAACCCAGAAACTTCAATAGTCCACATGGTAAATAAAAAACAAATAATAGCTTTTTTTTAATAGCTTTTTTTGAAAAGTAGAAACATGCTACTTTTGACACAAAGCTGCCAACTTTTCTATTTCTGAAAATCATTCCAGAAATGTAGGGGGAGGCTATGTTTATTAGAAGAAAAAACAAACACATAATTTTATGCAATATTGTCAGTCTGGAATAGCGAAACATAGTAAATAACAAACCTCAAGTTAATCTGGATTCAAATTTAGTAAAAGAAAATGTACTATCACACTAATGGTCACTCTGAGGCCCCAGAAAAAGAGGTCGGGCACTTCCTCAGAAGTGACAATTGCCAAAGGTGAGAGGCAGATTGCCACCAAGTGCCATGTCCATAGAGAACATCCTTTGATCTTTTCAGCACCTTTTCTTTAAGGATGATTATGGTTTTCTAGTTGGGGGCTTCATCCCAGCTCCTGGCATCCATTTTGGAATGCTGGGTGGAAAATTCCATTTCAAGTCACCTCTCCTGGGAGTTCAATCCAAACTCCACCTCCAAGAAAGCCCACCAAACGGTAACCCCTCCCCAGGGAGAGTCAAGAAAGCCCACCAAATTGTGACCCTTCCCCGGGGAAGGTCAAGACCACTCCCACAGGCTACTTAAACTGCCCCCCAGAGAACGAAAACATGGTCTCCCCTCTCCGTGTTTTTTCCCGGGGGCCACCCAGGAGCACTAACATCTATTAAACCTGGGTTTCTTCTCATTTGGTTTCATTTGGTCTAATTTGGATTATTGCATCAGCGGAGAGGTTTACCAGGCCAAAGGCATAGGAGTAGAGATTTGCTGGTCCGAGAAAGTTAACAATGATTGCCACTTTTTTCCTGTCGCCCACAATGGCATTTGGGATTAGATTCAACTGTACATACAGCTGGAAACAATTGGTACCTGTATTTGGCGCGGTGTATTTGATGGACCAGATACATCAGCCAATTCAAACCTCAGCCTCAGCATTTAAGCCAGAATATGCAAAGCTGTCTCTCCCTCAGCAAAATAACACCTACTCTAATCAATTAAATCAAATATGTATTTGAATTCTGTTATCTTGGGGAAATAAAAATTTACTATAAACTCCAAGATGAGACTTTTGTAAATAAAACACAACATTTATATTAAAATTAAAAAATTTCAAATTTTAGGGGCTGGAGAGATGGCTGAGTGGTAATGAGCGCTGGTTGCTCTTCCAGAGGACCCGGGTTCAATACCCAGCGTCCGCATGGCTACTCACAACCATCTAAAACTCAGTCCCAAGGAAAATGACGCCTTCTTCCAGCATCTGTGGGCACTGCAGGCTCATGATGCTCAGATATGGATGCAGATAAAAACAACCATACACATACACTTAATTCCTTTCCATTTTGACAGGTTAGGCATTTAACTCAGTGGGACAGCACTGGTCTAGCATGCACAAGACTGCGTTCAATCCCAAAACTGAAAAGAAAAGTAAAAATACATTTTAGGGGCCTAGAGAAATGACCCAATGGCAAAGAGCACTGGCTGTACTTCCAGGACTGTTCACTCAATCCGCAGCACACAACCATAGTAACGTTAGTTTCAGGGGTTCTAACAAGCACACACATGGTGCACATACATGCCCACAGGCAAAATACTCATACATACAAAGTAAAATAGGTATATCTTACACAAAACCAAGTTATATTTCCAAGCACCACTCCAATAAAGTGAGGGGATAAATACATAAATACTACCTCTTCGCCACCAGAGGGAGCTAAGCATTGGGGCCACTTGGTTTACTACCCTACACCACTCCAAAGTAATAAAAGATTCTCTAAACTGGTCTAGCTGCGTTTTCATACAGAAAACATACCTAACAGTTATTTCTTTAGTAATTTCTCTGCGGGTGTGCACATATGTATGTGCATGTGAGATTTTTTTGTTTATTTCAAGAGGGTTTCTCTGTAGCCTTGGCTGTTCTGGAACTCACTCTGTAGACCAAACCGACCTCGAACTCAGACCTCCACCTGCCTCTGCCTCCCAAGTGTTGGAATCAAAGATGTGTCCACCACATCCAGCCCGTGTGAGTTTACTTTTAAAAATAAGCAGTTCATAATTTGGTAGGAAGATATTGTCATACATTTCTTTAGAACTTAATTTTTTTTGTGTGTCCTTTTGCAGTGAGTACTGAATTTGATTTTTGTCCGAGGAACTCACGATGAATAGGATTCTTCCTCTGTCTTTATGCCTCCTCTGACAGAGTGTCACGGTTCCATGCGTGCACACATATCTCAAATCTCCAGAGGATGAAGACAGTCAGAGGTGCTTAATAAAAACTTTAAAGGAAAGCCTTACCTGGATAATCTTCGGAGACGTGGACTGAGTAGGACACACTGTAAAGACACACAAAAAAGAAATGGCTTAAGTTACTTTGGAGAGAGTCATTCTTTTGCACAAGAAAAGCCCAACCCACTGTTGCCCATCTATTTGTATAAGTGTAAGCACAAGGCGCACGCAGAGCGGAAGGCTTATTTTAAAGTGGCAAAGGAAATGCGAGACTGTGAATCTGGACTTCAGCAGGTCTTCCCGAGCCTTCCTGAAATAATCCCTCTCCCAGCTGATACTTTATTCTCAGCTTATCGGCAGGTCTTTTCATTTCAGCAATACACGAAGGGTCATCACAATCGTTCAGATTGCCCATAGCCTTCTCGCCAAGTTAGAGAGGATGCTCTGTTGCTGAGATGATACTCAAGAATCTAAATTGCATGTGGATGAGGCTGGGAATGGGACTCGGGACCTTGTATACAATGGGCACTCTGTCACTCAGCTGTCCTCCCAAGCCCATCATCTGTTTTATATTGCTTTTCCACAAGTGTTTTTTTTTTTTTTTAGAAATGTCATTTTACTTAAAATTAATGAATGATGGATGCAGGTAACTAAGCGATTTCTCTTAATTCAGCCTTTAAAACCATTAGATATAACAAACAAAATGTTTTCAGTTCTGAGAACTGCATTGCTTCAGAAAAAAATGTTTTGATTGAATGTCAACAATTTTTCAAATCCTTTCTCAGGGCCCCTGATGCTTCTATAAACCTATTTCAGATGATAGGAATTTAGATAACCTATTTGTTCATTTTTCTATCTCTTTCAACAAGACTGAACATCTCTGGAGATTCAAGCTCCGTGACCATTGACATCTATAGCATGATCAACTGTTTTAGTTGTTTGAATGGGTTAGTGAGGTGGTACAGAAATTGCATGTCACTGTTCATAAAAGACATTTGCTGTTCCATTACTAAGTCAAGAAACCAAACATGTTAAAAGGTGAAATCATATTTAAGCAGAACAATCAAAGGAGCTAACGTGGATGGCTGATTCAGAGAGGTACAACACCAAGCAATGAACATGGTAGAAAAGAACTTGGGCAGTAGAAAGTTCAATCATTTACTTTTTAACCCGGAAATAATACTGATTCAGCTAAGACTGCAAAGAATGTACAAAGATTCGCATAGCCTCCATGATGTTTATCCCACTGCTTACAACTTATGCACACATAGCAGAACACCAAAACCAAGAAATAGAAGTTAAGGCATGTGCCGTTCTATGTCATTTTGTCACGCATGAAACACATATGTACTACATACTCAAGACCCAGAACTATTCACTCATGCTGTCTCATCAGGCTGACACTTGTCACCCCTCCATCCTAATGTTCTCAGCTCCATTCGCCACCAATACAACCAATGGAAAACCAGTTTTCCAATGGGTCTCCAATACTGTCATCTCAGGAGTGTGATATATCTGTGTGTGTGTGTGTGTGTGTGTGTGTGTGCTCAAGTGCACAAAACTATACAGTAAGGATCACAGTGGTGACTTTTGAAGGCAAAACTATTATCTCAAAAAATTACTCTAGTCATAGGTGATATTTAGAATGGAAACGGGAAAAAGCAACATAGGACCCTATCATAGCAGTAAATTGAGAGCAATTCTTAGGGGGGTGTATTGTGCAGGAAGGGAATGAGAAGACCTAAGCAAGTAGCTGATGCTGAATCAACCCCAACCAAAACCCCAGCTTTGGGAATCAAATGCCAACGAGGCAAAATATCCACGTCACCAGTGCCTCAAACCTTGAGAGGAGAATGAAACACTATAACTTAATGTGAATTTACTCTCTCATGATTCATTTGCTTATACAATGGGAAAATTATACATAGCAATAAAATTCTTGTTGAGCAGCCCACCCTTTCTTATCCGGCAGTTCCTTATGACAGAAAGCCAGGCACCTGGCCAAAGATTATATACCATTCTAAGTTGAATCGATTTACAACATGCTATGTTCTCAGACAACAGTATCCGGCCTCGTTTTTCACTCAAATCAATGTCAAAATGTCAAATGAAGCCTTAATCTGTTCCTTTGTCTTCATCCAGTCAGGGAGTCTGCTACAGACTAACAGAAGCCTTGGGGTTAATTTGGAGACTTACTAGCTGAGTAACAGTGAAAAAGTCACACACGCAGTCAGCTGTGGCCTCTTTCTAGAAAAATCAGAGAATCCACATCTACGCCCTCCAGGTCTTGTGTGATGGTTTGGTGAGCAATCTTAGCCAAACCCCAGCTGTTTTGCTTGTTTGTTTGTTTGTTTGTTTTGTTTTATTGATACAGGATCTCAGGAAACTCAAGCTAGTCTGAAGATGACCATGTAACCCAGTCAGACTTTTGACACTGACCCCTGTATTTGCCCCCATCTCCAGAATGCTAGGATTACATGTGCGCATCACCACACCGAGCCTCAAGCACTACAATTAACAGGAAATTCACATGAATAAATGTGCTCTGGAGAACTCAGCTGCATTGGTAAAAAGATATAGTCAATACTTCACATTCATCTGAACTCAACGCTAACTCTGACAATTTTCCTTTACGGAGCCCCATGTTCGTGACCATACCTAATGTTTCTAGAATCAAACAGAAAACAAGAGCCCAGCGAAATGATTCATTGACTCCCTGACCGAGAGCATGTTTTGGGGGTGAGCAGCAGAGGAAAATCGCCAGGCCTGTAAAATCTTAATCAGTCTCACTCTGAGGCTTGCAGAACACGAAGGGATGCAATCCAGTACAAGCAGACTTGGATGACTAAGCTCAAGGCTCTAAATGGGTAGGGTCAAAAAGGGTGACGGGGGCGGGGTGGGCAGAGAGCAAAGCTCAAGTGGCTTTCGGAGGAGGGTTGGGATGCACTACACATAATAAACACTACACGGCAGGCCAGTGGCATACCGGAGAACTGAAAACCAAAGGAGGGGACACGAGAAAAGCCTGAAGCTCTAGAACCTGTTCAGGAAGGAATGCCCTCATAATCCTGGACGATGCCACATGGTGAGTATATTAAAGAGCTTTAGAGAGAACATCAGGTAAGTTGATACATGTTCTGTATATTCTATATGGGGACCATGGCATGAGGTACTTCTGGTCAGAAGTGTTAGCATAAAGCATTTCTATTACCTGTGTGATTCCTCTAATATAATTTGGCCCTAGGAAAGACATCTCCCCACAACAGACCCAGAAGGCCATCCTAGAGGAGCCACCCTGTGCTAGCAGCCTGTGCTAGCCTATAGTTGGGCTTTACTGCTGTCATTGGAATCATTTACAGGGCTATTCACGCATTTAAACTCGTCCTTTGTACCTTATACCTTTTTCCTCCTGAACCACGTAATCAAGAGCCAGACGAAACAAATTTGTTCCTCCTTCCCAAGTCCTCAGCTTAAGAAAACCATTTGACGATGGTGGAAAAACGACAGAAGGTGGTGGGCAAATTCAAAGCCAGGCAGAAATACATAGAAAGACCCTGTCTCAAAATAAAAATAATTATAATAGCTTAGAAATTTTTAAAGGATAGTAGGGAGGTGTGAGGATTTGAATGAGCAATGTCCCCTGTAGTCTCAGGCATCTCAATGCTTGGTATCCAATTAATAGCACTGGGAAGGTTTGGGAGATGTATCCTTGTTGAAGGAAGGATATCACTGATGGTGGACTTTGAGTGTTGAAATATCCAAATCAGTTCAAGCTCTATCTCTCCCCTTTATGCTTACAGTTCAAGATATGAGCTGTCTGCTAGCTGCTATAGCCACCGTGACTGCCACTTGTGTGCCTCCTTACCATGATGAACTTTGATCCTTCTGGAACCATAAGTCAAATAAAACCTTTCTTTTATTAGCTGTCTTGGTCGCAGTGTTTTATCACAGCAATGGAAAAGTAACTAATACAGGGGATAATGGAAGGCAGCGTCTTAAAATAGAATGGAGAATTCAGACTAAAAATAAATGAATTTTAGACTCGGAAGACATTTCGGAAGAATTCAATACCTATATTTTATAATAGATTCCAAAGCACTGTGGTCAAACTCCCGGGTCCTGTGCTCCTTTCTTTTTCCCATTACACCCAAGATTTTGACAGAACAAACGAAATCTGGTGCTATTCCATGCGATGTCTCTTTTGCTTTACTCCCTAAATTTTAAAACATGTTTCCTAAGAGCAGCGCCTTTAAATGCCTAGGCTTCCCTAGTTAAATTAGACTTTTTGAGTTCACACAAGGAAAAGCAAAATACAGAAACTAAGGCAGGCCCTGAGGTTCTTTGTTCACCTTCAAGTGAGACACCGAAAACTCCTTACAGAAAACAGCCCTAGTAGCCGCCATGCAGCCAGGAGCTTCTGCCCCTCTGGAGCTGTGGAGTAAAGAAATGATCCAGGGACTCCGCCCTCAGGCTCATCTCTCAGGCCTTTGGGACCATTAGGAGCTCAGTTTGCTCATTTGATCCCATTCAAGACTCACAACATTCACCTTTATGTTCACTTCATGTTTCATTTCCCAAAAACTCTTTTCTAATTATCTGGGTCAAGCAGCTAGTGTTCCCTCATTCTTCACCAATTATTAGCTGCAGTATCCAAGTAACTTTGGGATTGGAGGGTTCTAGTGCCCTTTCCTGCTCCCCTAAATTCCTTCCCTCACCCCCATCAATATCGACAAGGTTAACCTCCGGTGAGTTCCAAGGCCTCGTTCACCTCACCTTCCTTCCTAGACCCTGGATTTTGACCAGGGGTAGAATCTGCATCTCTGGTAAAACTTGCAGCCTTTGTGTTATACTCTTTAGCCCCGACTCTCCAAATCTTGGATTTTTTTCACTCCTTAGACCTTCACAAGTGCCTCCAAACATTAGTCCCTCCTCTTCCTGGATCTAGAGAATTGCTCTCTCTCTCTCCAGACATCAGTCCCTCCTCTTCCTGGATCTAGAGAATTGCTCTCTCTACAGCACCTTCACCTTCTTGGCTGGGAAGCCCCAACCTTGCCCCTGGAGACACTAAATGCTCAAAATGGCAGATGCAGTCATGCTTGGCACTGCC